AGAATTCCTAGTTGAAAGATCTGCCAGCTCTGAGGTCCCTGTTCATCAAGGGAGCCAGCACACTAATCACCCACCAGAGATCCTGCAAATCAAGACCTGTGCTTCATTGTGCTGAACATGCAGATTTAAACAGGAGGAAGTGGATAGTTAAAAGAGAATAGAGGGAGCATAAGAGGGCTACTGGAAGCCTGGCCAGGGATTAGGAATTATTTACAGAGACAAACTAGAAGGCAGTGAAGGTGACTGAGGCATTTAAATCTCAGGGTAAAATTGGGAAGTGCAGCATTTGGGTCCCCATATGTATTATATAGTTTAAACACAGACACAGAGAGCTCACATCACTCAGTGCAACTGCATCTCATGTAAGGCGGCAGCAGCCAGATCCACAACCCCACCACAGAGAAGCATGGGAAGAAGTGTTTTGACCACAGACATCAGGAACAAACTGAAAAGTGTGGCAGGATGTTCAAGATCTCTCCAGAGCAGAGGGCACCCTCATCCCAATAATCCACACACACAGCTTTTGAGCCCCATATGTATTATATAGTTTACACACAGTGCAAACTACAGGTAATACAGACAGTGCACAGTGCCTGGACCCAAAGAGGACCTTGTGCTAGTAGTATTTAAATCCACTTGTTGCCAGCAGTTCCAATGGCGGAAAGGACAGGGCTTGAAGGGTTAATCAAGTTTAATATCAAGTTTAATCTACTATTTGGTCATGCACAGAGGGCAGAAATATTATACGTCTTACCTTACTGGTGAGTTTTTGACTGCTGATCTGTCTCACGTGATCAGCTAATTTGGTCACATCCTTGCCATTGAGTAAACGAAGGTTTTGTAAAAGAAATATGACCTTATGGTCATCGTTGCGCTGGAGAGAAAAAATATTTAAGTTACAGACACCCACGCACATGCATTCACTGAAATACACAGACAATGCTTTTCCATTACCAAGCAAGCAGGGAGAGCAAAACATATTTACACTGGAAAGAACGTGGCATAAAATCAATCAAACACCTTGCAGAATTTCCAAAGCACGTGGACTCAGCTACAAATCCAAGGAGCCTTTTGCTGGCTGCCAGTCCTGCAAACTCAATGGCCACGTCCAGACGAGAGCAGCCATGCAGTGTGGCATCGCAGACATGTCTGTGGTGCCACATACCACACGCTCAGCTGTTCTCCGTGCTGCAAGGGAGCAGTGCAGGGGGTGGCATTTTTTGACCCCAGATATTCAGGGGTCAATCCCTCTCCCCCCCCACCACACACACACAAAAAAGGTGGAGGCGCACGTGGGGGCAGCACGCACTACTCAAAATTGAAGCCTGGCTGGCCAGAGCCACACTCCAGCTGCCAGACAGGCTTCATGTGATAGGATCGGTGCTGCTGCAGCCCCAGGAGGCCCCTAGGTAAGGCTGCTGGAACCAGCCCTGCCTGGACGTGGGCGCTGAGGCTGATGTCATCTTCCTGGACTTTAGGAAGGCCTTCGACACAGTTTCACACCCTATCCTCATTGGGAAGCTAGCAGACTGTGGAGTGGATGCCTACACGGTCAGGTGGGTGGCCAACTGGCTTAGGGACCACACCCAGAGAGTGGTGGTGGATGGTTCCTTCTCAGCCTGGAGGGAGGTGGGCAGCGGGGTCCCGCAGGGTTTGGTCCTCGGACTGGTATTATTTAATATCTTCATCAGCGATTTGGACAAAGACGTGGAGAGCACCCTCTCCAAGTTTGCTGAAGATATCAAGTTATGGGGCAAAGTTGGTACACCGGAGGGCAGGGAGCAGATTCAGGCCGTCCTGGACACGTTGGATCAATAGGCAGAGAGAAATAAGATGCAATTTAATAAAGATAAATGTAAGGTACTCCATCTGGGAAGGAGGAATCCCCAGCACACCTATAGGTTGGGGAGTGTCTTTCTCAGCAGCTCGGAGGCAGAGAGGGATCTTGGAGTCGTAACTGACTTCAAGATGAAGATGAGCCGGCAGTGTAATGAGGCCATCAACAAAGCCAATTGCACCTTGTCATGCATTAGCAGGTGCATGACTAATAGATCAAAGGAGGTGATGCTCCCCCTCTATGCGGCACTGGTCAGGCCGCAGTTGGAGTACTGTGTCCAGTTTTGGGTGCTGCACTTCAAGAGAGATGCGGAGGATCTGGAGAGGGTCCAGAGGAGGGCCACTCGCACGATTAGTGGCCTTCGGGAAAGACCCTACAGGGAGAGGTTGAGAGAGCTGAATCTCTTCAGCCTTCACAAGAGATGGCTGAGGGGAGATCTTGTGGCCACCTATAAATTTATTAGGGGAGGTCAATGGGGAATAGGTGATGCGCTATTTACTAGGGCGCCCCAGGGAGTGACTAGGAATAACGGGTGTAAACTAGTTGAGAGTGGATTTAGATTAGATATTAGGAAGAAATTTTTCACAGGAACGGTGGCCAGGATCTGGAATGTGCTTCCAAGAGAGGTGGTGCTATCACCTAACTTGGAAGTCTTCAAGAAGAGGCTAGATAGTCACCTGGCTGGGGTCATCTGGCCTCAGTCCTCTTTCCTGCCAGGGGCAGGAGGTCGGACACAATGATCCATTGTGGTCCCTTCCGACTCTACAATCTATGAATCCACCCAGGGCAGCCTGCCACATGCCAGAGGGCATGTAGCACAGGCATTGCCCAGGGACAACTTGTGGCAGTACAAGGTGTGCCGCTGCTAGTTTTCTGCAGGCAACCAAACATCCACACTCGTGTGGATGCAGTCAACCTGGGGGCTGAAAGCCAAGCGGGGACCTTTCCTGATCTTACATCTCCAGAGGTACATTCTGCAGGGGGACTGGAGAGCTGAAATTACATCTACAATTAGAGCTTAGTTAACTGTGCTGCTAATGATCCACCTTGTTCTCCCACAGCTGTGGAAAGCCTACAATGGAGTGTGCAGTAGCTCAGGGGTTTTTTGGTCCCCAAGGCTAGTAGCTATGACTGCCTGTGCACTGGGATCTGTAAAGTAAGAGAACATTTTTACAGGATCCATTTAACACTGTACGCTGTTCATCTTTCACATATCATACAGTCTTCTGACTCAGCAAGCATCCCATCATGGGAAGCTTCCTGCTCCTGGCTTAAAAAACAGAGCACTGGCTTGAGAGTCAGGGGATCTGGTGCCTATCCTTGACTCTGCCACTGGTCTGCTGAGTGACTTTGGGCAAAGCACCTCACTTTTGTGCCTCGATTTCCCTTCTGTAGAACAGGAATAATGACAGTGTCCTCCTTTACAAAGGGCTTTGCAATTTCTTCATGGAAAGCCATTATAAGAGACAGTTGCACTTATTACTGACTTTCCATTTACTATGCTGCAATGAAGGGAACCGTCTCACTCACTGTCAAGTCCGTGTTGTTCTCATAGCTTAGCTCCTCCAGCTTTGGGAACTGCTTCAGGGTGGTCACATCATCCAGTTGATTATTACTGCAGTTGAGCACACGCAGCTCGGGCAGAGCGAGGCTGTTCGGAAACTTGACCAGTTCATTGTCAGAAATGTCGAGTTTTTGCAGGTGTCGCAGCCGGGAGAAGAGCCGTGGGTCCAAGTCTCCAGTCTTTAATTGCAGCTTGGATAGGCTGGAAACAAACCAGAACACCTGCTACCTCGAGGTCATGCAAAGCTAAGGGTAAAACCTCATTTTTAAGGGATATAAGGTTTCATGTTCCTGCAAGTCTTCTTCCCCCGGGGCAAAGCTAACTGAGCAAAACAGTTACACCCACCCTGCTATTCTGTTTTCCACACAGCACAACATATTTCCATTTTCCCTTCAATTTCACGACAAATAATTTAAGGAAAAAAGGGGTAGCCCAAATAGCATCCGACCAGGATTTTACTCCAGTCTGTTTCTACTTACTTCAGAGTCTCAATCTTTCGAAGCCTGGTAGACCTGGGA